GAACACATCAAATTATTTGCAAAAGCAAACACACACACACACACACACACACACACACACACACACACACAGAGTTGGTTCCAATTTGTGTCATCTCTATCCAATTCAATCTAGGAAATCCCTCCCTTAACAGGCTTTAGCAAAATTAGGATGCAAATACTACATTTCTTTCAAACTACATACCTAATATCAGTAGGCCATCACATAACTGGTAGTTTGTATCAAAATTTTAATCACTACTGTCAGTGTTAAGGGAAATGCTGCATACTAAAGATTGTGTATTCTTTTAGATGTAGTAGTGTAACACCACATAAAACTCATTCAAGAAAAACAGAGGGTGTAACCTCAAGGGTAGAGCAGCCTGCTTAACATAGGCAAGTTCCATCCCCACAGCAAAAAAGGTGGTCAAAGAAGGCTACTACCTAGATTGTTTTTATTTTTGGGTCCTGGAGACTGAACCAAGGGCCTTCTCACTGAGCTACATCCCCAGCGCCCCCCTCTCCCTTTTGTTTGAGACAAAATCTCACTAATTTACCCACGCTGGGCTGCTCCTCCTGCCTCAGTCTACTAGGGTTTTGGGATTACAAGTGTGCATCACCATACTTGGCTCTAGGTTGTCATATTTTGTCCCCAGAGTTCTTGCAATTGTAGGATAATATCTACATCATATACAAACTATCTGCTTTATTCCCCATACACTATTATTATTTAAAACAAGAGCTGGGCATATAGCTTAGTGGTAAAGCATTTAGCTTAGCATACAAGCCCAAAAATAAAATAAAAATAAGACAACACTAAGTTTTAGTAGCCCCTTCATATGAGGAGCTTAAAGTGTTTCTTATGTAATAACCTCAAGTCTTCTTGGGATATGGAAAAGTATTGTATGACAGCTGATTTTAAAGCCATCTCAAAGCCAGACCTGGTGTTGAATGCCTCTAATCCTAACATTTGGCGAGGCTGAGGCAGGAGGCTACAAATTCAAGCCCAGCCTGAGCAATTTAGCAACTTAGTAAGACCCTGTCTCAAAACAGAGAAAAGGCTGGCCATACAGTTCAGTGCAAAGGCTCTGGGTTCAATCCCCAGCATTGGGTGGGGGAGGGGGCTGCTTATTTTTCTAACCTGAATTTAAAGACTGGTTTAATCAGATGTATAAGAACTTCACCAGTGTCTTACTGGGCTAGCTTTTGGGGGGAGGTATTCAAGAAAGTAAAAATGAAGAGTAGGAGAGAAATTGGCCCTGCTGAGTGAGTTGGGCCAAGTAAAGAGAAAAAGAGAAAGAGCAAAGATAAAAGTACATGCTGCATCTGGGAAACACAGCATGGGCTGTCATGACAGCTACAATAGCTGGACTAGCTTTTATCGAGTTCCATATGAAAAGAAAAAATGTGAAATTTTAAAATTATTGTAGATTCTGACAGATTGTATTATACAACAATCATATCCCCACCCCAATGTCCAGCCTTGCCTTGAACTTCTGGGTTCAGCCATCCAGTAAGTGGATGACCAGGCATTCACATCTTTCTTCTTTTTTTAAGCGCTGGGAAATTGAACCCAGGGCCTTTGGCATATGAGAGATAAGCACTATGCCACCGAGCTGTATCTACAGCTCTTTAAAAAGTATGTGCGAATATTACATATGCCTGCAGGTCCAAGACCAATCTATCAATATGGTCATAACTGAAAAGAAGACAAAAGGGGTAGAAAGGGCTGATAACTTTCTTTTTTCATATCGGGGATCAAACTTAGGACCTTATACTTGCCAAGCAGACATGGCATCACTGAGCTATACCCCAACCGTTAACTTTTTTTTTTTTTGGTATCAGGGATCGAGCTCTGGACCTTCCGCTTCTGAGGCAGGCAGCAGCACCACTGAGCTAAATTCCTGGTCTACCTGATAACTTTTTTTTTCCTGGGTAATTTTATTTTTTGATAATTTTTTTTTTTTTGTGGTACGACGGATTGCACCCACGGTCTTTACATGAAGCTACATCCTCACTTCTTATTTTTAAGGTCTCACTAATTTGCTCAGGTTAGGCTCAAACTTGTGGTACTCTTGTCCCAGCCTCCCAAAGTACTGGGATTACAGGCATGTGCCACCAGGTCCAGCTTAATTTTGTAATTTTTGAGAGAAATTAAAGCTTTTTTATTGTTCTTAAACCCTATGTTAAACATATTGCAATCAATAAAAGATATTAAAACATCTCTCGTATGGAGAGAAAATCAGGTTGGACTGAACACTAGTTTAGGTAACAGCCGTCTAGTTTAATCAGTTTGCATGTTGTTATTTCTTGAGCACATTATTCTGCAAATGTTCCAAATGGGGCCGGAGATTTGGCTCAGTGGTTCTGCCACCTGCCTTGAAAGCGCAAGGGCCCAATTTCGATCCCCGGTACCAAAAAAAAAAGCCCCCAATGGCTTTATAATAAGCAGAAACTTAAAATATTGGCCAGATGAGGTGGCTCATACCTGTAATCCCACCATTCAGGAGGCTAGGGCAGGAGTATCATAAATTTAAGCCAGCCTGAGTTACATACCAAGTTCAAGGCCAGCCTAGACTACGAAGTAAGATTCTATCTCAAAAAACAAAAATAAAATAATTGATTTTGACACTTAATTTATTCCAATTAAAAATAATGTTCAAAAAAATTGAATAACACCAAACAATAACAATGCTCTGACCTGAACAAGAAGCTGAGCTTTTTTTTTTTTTTTTTTTTTTTTTTTTTTGGTACCAAAGATCGAATTTGGGACCTTGTGCTTGAGGCAGGTGGCAGAACCACTGAGCTAAACCCCTGCCCCTGAGCACTCTTAAAAAGGCATTTTCCAGCCAGGTATGGTGGCACACACCTGTAATCCCAGCACTTGCGAGGCTGAGGCAGGAGGAAGACCAACCTGGGCTACGTAGTGAGTTCCAGTTCAGTCTCAACCTCATAGTGAGATCCTGTCTCAAAAATAAACAAACAGAAAAAACCCAAAAAGGCATTTTCCTCAAAAACCAGCTATGAGACGCAGAATTTAAACACTCATCAACATATAGAGGCCTGCCGGGCGTGGTGGCTCACACCTGTAATCCCAGCACTCGGGAGGCTGAGGCAGGAGGATCGCTGTGAATTCGAGACCAGCCTGGGCTACATAGTGAGTTCCAGGTCAGTCTCAACTACATAGTGAGACACTGTCTCAAAAAAACGAAAAACAAAAACAAAAACAAAAAAAAACATAGAGAGGCTTTGTAACTTAACATTCACTAGACAAAAAGACAGTATCAAGTCTAGTCACCTCTCAAAAATAGGTAAACCTTCTAGCTATTATTTAAATGTGGCAAGATATTCTTTTATAGTTGATTTTGCTTCTCTCTGTTTTTCTCTGTGCATGAGTATATACATGCACACACGCATGCGTATATGTGTGTGCATGTGTGCGTGTGTGTGTGCGTGTGTGTGCGCGTGTGTGTGTTTGTGTGTGTAATTGGCTGCACTTTCTCTTTCAGACACTAGAGGGAAATGTAAAATCCATTCACTGTATCTGGGATTTCATTTTGTTCATTCATTCATAAACATTACCAAATATTTATTGTGTGCCTGCATGCCAGAAATTGTTAAGACTCCACAGACAAAAAGATAAGTGAGATACAGTACTTGTCCCTGCTGCTCTGGAGACTGAAGCAGGATTGCTTGGGTTTGAGACTAGCCCCAGCAACACAGTTATTGCAAATAAACTAACTATTGCAAATAAAGACCTTATTGCAAATAAACTAACTAAAAATGTTTGTTTTATTTGTTTATTTCTCTGAAAGCAGAGAATACACAAGAGTAGAAAAACAAACCTGTGGGAGAGTATGGGTTTGGAACAAGATGGGAAATTATTTCTTTTGACAAATGGAGGAAAATGTGTCCATATAATTCACATTAGACAAACTAGTCTATCCAAACTGGCTTTTCCATTAATAATCTTCCTTACTTTAATCTACATAGAAATAACTGTACTTAAGATGGTACCATTAATCTGCTCTCTGTGCAAAGTAGAGGCATTACTTAGGAAGATTTGCTAAAATAACTAGTTGGCTAGGTTTGAAAAATCAATTGTATGGGCCAGGGATTTAGCTCAGTGGTTCCGCTGTCAACCTCACAAGCACAAGGACCTGAGTTCAATCCCCAGTACCAAAAAAAAGAAAGAAAGAAAAATCAATTGTATACAGTTTAAAAGACACAAAGGTAACAAATATATCGGGGGTTAACACGGCTTAAATGATTTTAAAAAATCTCCCTGGGCATGCTGGTTTGTGCCTGTAATCTCAGTACTTGGGAGGC